AATCCCGAGGATCGAGGGGATCCTGAAAAACTTCTATTCACTGGCGTTGCACCAGTTCGGCTTGGACTACAATTGCCAGTGCAAAGAGCAGATGGCAAGCCTCGGGATGTACCAGACGGTGTATGACATCCTGAAGGAGGAGAACCAGAGAGTGGAAAAGACCCTGAAGATGGACAACTTGAAGACTAAAGAGAAACTCAGGAATTCAGAGTCTGGAGACATGAACCAGCTGGCGCCCTTGCCCCCCATATCCCAAAACCCCCGATCCCCCGCTGAGGAAACCGCCAGGGACCAGGCTGTCTCCGGCTACAAACCTCAGCCAAATCGCGTCCTCATCAAGTCCAAGTGTTTGCCAAAAATCCTAAAGACGGTCCCCTGCCTCCCATCGGCACCGTGAAACTCCTGCCTCACCCGCCTCCCAAACCGCCGCAGCATCCTGCACCGCGCTGGAGAAGATAAGTTATCGGATCCACCGAGAACTGGGTCGCCTTAAGAGCAGTGGGCACAAAGTTTTAGTTTCAGTGTTATTTAGTTAAATTGGTTTTAGTTAGTTTTTAGTTTAAAGTTATTATAGTTAATAGTAAGTCAGACAAGTTTTGATTGATAGTTTTAGTTAGTTGTTTTAGTTTAGTTAGTTCGTTTTTATTGTTAGTTAGGTTAGTTAAATTGGTTTTAGTTAGTTTTTAGTTTAAAGTTATTATAGTTAATAGTAAGTCAGTGAGTTAAGACAAGTTTTGATTGATAGTTTTAGTTAGTTGTTTTAGTTTAGTTAGTTAGTTTTTAGTGTTAGTTAGGTTTTAGTTAAGATTAAAGTTATTATAGTTAATAAGTTATAGTTAATAAGTTAGTGCATTTTCAATGAGTTATTAAGATAAGTTTTAGTTGATAGTTTTAGTTTTTATAAGATATGCCTTCCATCGGCACCGTGAAACTGCTGCCTCACCCACCTCCCAAACCGCCGCAGCATCCTGCACCGCGCCGCAGAAGATTAGTTATCGGATCCACCGAGAACTGGGTCGCCTTAAGAGCAGTGGGCACAAAGTTTTAGTTTCAGTGTTAGTTAGTTAAATTGGTTTTAGTTAGTTTTTAGTTTAAAGTTATTATAGTTAATAGTAAGTCAGACAAGTTTTGATTGATTGTTTTAGATTATTATGTTAAGTTATTATAGTTAATAAGTTATAGTTTATAATAAGTTAGTGAATTTTCAATGAGTTAAGATAAGTTTTAGTTGATAGTTTATATAGTGTGTTAGTTTTTATAAGATAAGTTTCCTTTGATTTATTTAAAACATGTTTTTCTTTTTTTAGTTATAGTCATAGTGTGGTCTTCCAAAGTATTACGTCTGCTAAGGACATTTTAGGTTCAGTAAGTCTACTTTTGTCAGTAGGGATGCTCCGATCAGGGTTTTTGGGGCCGATCACCCGAATCAGAATCGGCCGATACCGACGTTACATATATCACACTGTTAGCGAAATATAACAACGTCTTATAACTCGAGTATAAGCACTGTTATAACTTGGAGTAATGACATTTCATCACGAGTGTAAATGGATCACATACCAGTACTTAATAAACCTCAGAAAACAGAAATGTTACGACTGAATAAACGGGTTTGAACTCAAATGCACGACTCACACAGGTTTTAACAAAAAAGGTTTATTTCAAACCAAAGCTCTTCTACAGAGGTAAAAAAACTAAATGACTCTTAACGAGGAAAAACAGATTCAAAACAAAGTCACTCTTAATGAGGAAAAACACTAACAAAACAAAATCACTTAAATGAGGAAAAAACACTAGGAGCATAGATAACTAAATTCTCAGAAAACAAGACGTGGCTCAAAGCTCTGCTTGAGATTTTACCTGGCATGATACACTTGTGGTTAGTCACAGGAAACGAAACGAACTGGCACAGGACAAAGGGAGACGAGGACAATAAATACACCAGGTAATGGGGAACAGGTGGAAACAATCAGGGGCGGGGTCGACAATCACAGGTGTGGGAGACACACAAGGAAAGGAGGTCAGAGTATCTGAAACGAGAGGGAAGGTTACTATTAAAAGATAAAGGGGAAAATCACTAGACAAAGACAAAAACACTAAACTAAACTAACATAATTTGCGAGAGATGACAAGAAATGTATGTGTCCAAAACTGAATTATTTATATACAGGAACCAACCTTTTCACATCAAAGATATTCATCAGTTTTCAGGTTTTTAACTCTTTCAATAGCAGTTTATTATCACAATGCCACTAGATTTTTTTGTATTAAATACCATGGGGATTTCTTTTTCACAATCTGGTATAAATATATATATATACGTAAATGATAAGCAACAACATACTGTAGACATTGATGCATTTTTCTTTTTCTTGTGCAGTGTGAGAGAAAATGCATATATTAATATTTTTTCCAGATCTCACTGAGTAAAGCTTTTGATATACAGTAATAGTATGCAGGATTTAATGCTACAATGGCCATGGGAACAGAAATTGTGGTTTTAATGGGTTTCAATGGCGAGAGATTTATCCTTAAAGCTCCAAGCGTGTCTGTATTTTGGCAAGACACATAATTATATGTTATTTAGAGCGGAGGTCAAGCTGTTAAAATTCGGGGTAAAAACATCAACATTTTTGCTATGTGCAGTAACCTTAGCCAAAAGGATGTACAATTAAAAGGCGAGAAATTTCCCTCGTGAAGCACAAGGGGAAAACATAAATGTTGCTAATTTAAAATCCATATATTAGGCATGCAATCAAAAATGATTGGTCCTTTCTAAATCCTTGCACAAAGGTATTGGAATTTAATGTATATGCTCATAAAGTGCAGTAGTCTTGTGTTAAGCATAGACGCAATGCTGCAGGATGTGGTCTGTTAAGAAAGACGGCCTTGTAAAAATATATATCTTGATGTAATAACGACATGTTTCCATAACCTGCACGTGTGCAAATACTGCTGCTGCTGCTGCGTCTGCAAACATTCAATTACATTGTCGGAGCACATTCTCCACCCTATTTTAGCCTTGCTAACAAGGCCAGCAGAATTCCCAATTATTACAACCACCAAGATCGTTCCTCAAGGGCTACAATCTTTAAAAAAGAAAAAAAGGGAAAGAAATGCTAAAGTGAGCAGCGATCATGCTTGTGTGCACATATCAATGTGTCAAGCCCTTTGTCCTTGAGTTGCACCCTGGAACTATAATTTGAAGCTGGTGAGGAGCGTGCAACAGGAGCCGCAAACACACCAATTCAACTGACATTTAGCTTTCGGCTCACTTGTCTTTGAAAACACACGAGGGCTACTACTCCAGATGAGCCCGATGAGAGGAAGTTCACGAGTGAAATCCCCCGATCCCTGAGGGAGAGAGCAGAGGCAATAATTACTGGCAAAAAAAACATCTGATTTGTTGTTTCAACTGGCATGGTTAGAAAAATACTGCCAAAAGATGCATCCCACATATATTCAGATTTTGTAGTATAATGTATTTATGGTATCTTGTATTACAACATGAGCATTTACTTCTCTTAGTCTTGTAGGTTTAAAAGTAAAGTTAAATATAGGGGTCAGTCATTGAATTGTCTTTTGTTTCTTTTAAAGATTTGTTGGCCAATCAGTGCCTTTTTAATTGAGCTGTTCATATCTTACACTGCACTGTAACTTTTATTCATGTATTTTTTCTTTTAACGTTTATTGTATTACCTTTGCTTTTTAATGACTGTTTTTAAATGCCATTTTCTTAATGTCTTTCATTTTTGTAAAGCACTTTGAATTGCCTTGAGTTTAAAGGTGCTATATAAATAAACTTGCCTTGCCTTGCCTTTATTTAATGCAAAAATGCAGTTTTTTTCTTTTTCTATATCACAATAAAAGACATTTAAAGAAATATCCTTTGACGTAAAATACATTTATAATCTAGAAAACAAACCGCCGCCTTTGACCAGAAACAGACAGATTGACGACATTATTGGTGTCAAACCTGATATCCCTCTGAAACGTGTGATTGAGTCCCTGCTGATGGCTGAGCCACTCACAAGCTTTAAATATCAGCCAGTCGATAATTAAATGAAATAAAACGGCATCAGAATATGTATTAACGTTGAGAAGTACAGCAATGTCATTTGAAAATATGATACAGACTGTGCGAGGCCTGACTCAGTCAAATTTGAGATCACTATAACAATCCTTTTACCACAGATCAATCGTGTGCCATGAGGACAGATCACATCTCTTTAAGAACTGAACACAAGCCCAACTGAGCTTAAAAACGACAACAAATTTCACTTCCATTTATACCTCCCACTGCGTACACTCTACCCAAAGCGGCATTTATAAAACAGTAGCAGAAAACGTGAGGGTTAACAGGCTCTAATGGGTAATGCATTCTGTAATTGTGTAAAGGTTAAAAAACACAGTCATTATCTATCATGCATCCTCACTGTTCGAGCACTGCAGCTGCACACCTTTTAGTTCATGATTTGGAGTAATAGCATGAATATTTAAAGTACATTACTCAATAAATTAAGCGTAATAATAATTAAGATGAATTATTATTATCTTAAGAGCTTGAGGACTAATCACGGGGTTTGTCAAACAAAGCACATGGTGTAGTCCTAAACGATAGCTGAGGTTCTGGGTAGTGTAGTGTCTTCTGCCATCCTAAACTCCGAAAAAATATTTGTTTCTCCGAATCGAAGGGGGAAAATCCAAAAGCATTGTACACAATTCAAACCAATCAATGTTGTGTAACTAACAAGGATAATCTGGTGTTTTTGAGTTGATGAGTAGTGCAGATATCACTGTCAAATCAATCGACAGTAAAGAGAATACTTACTTCCGGGTGTAAAATCCTCCGTTATCCAATGGGAATGGACGCTCACATTGCCTTTAACTGCCGCCGACATGGACCGATGCGGTGCTTCCCTGAGCGTCAAATACCGCCGCCGATGGGAATACATTGCAATCAGTTGAAAGCTCTTTGCGTCCGTTTATGAAGCTGAAGGAGCCTCGGTGCGTCACAACTGCACGCCAAAGGACCCTGACCAAGCGTCGCTCCTGGACGTTCAGGGAGTGAGACTGTATTGACACAAACATCCAGTCTCAAGTCATAGAAGTAGGCCTCTTTTGTATCCCGCGGAGAGAAACAAATTGTAGTTCTGAGGCAGCCATCTTGGAAAGGAGCATACACAGGAAGGGATCCAGACAGCTGTGGAAGCAGCAGAGACACACTGCTACTCTGTAATATCCATACAGTCTGTCGTCCCCACTGGTAAACAGACGGATGTAGTGGGCGATATGCAGGATGCCGCTTGGCAAGAAACACACGACAAAGATGATGAAAACCAGAGTGCTGACCCTGATAAACGGTTTCCAGTCGCAACAGGATTGTCCTAGATGGTATACCACTGCGACATGCGAATAGATACAAATCAGGAATGGCACTATGAAGCCCAGGCAAACCAGCATCATCCTGTGTGGCACCAATGGGGAATGGGATTTTTCATCCAGGGCCAGGACATCATGGCAGGTGGTGATTCCCAGGTGGGTGAGCTGGTAGCTCTGCCTAACCAGGAGCTCAGGCACCATGGCCACACCGTACAGGAACCAGACCACCAAGCAGGACCACACTGCCAGCGTAGACTTAGCCAGCCTTCTGTACAGGAACGGCCGGACCACAGCCAGGTAGCGCTTTACACTGATGCATGCTATAGTTTGGGCTGAACTGTAAACATTGCCATAAAACAAGGCTGTGATAAGCCGGCCGGAGATTTCCCCAAATATCCAATTGTTCCCGTTGAAGTGGTAGTGAACACGCAGCGCCAGGGAGAGCAGCAGCAGCAGGTCGGACAGAGCCAGGTTCAGGTAAAGAACTATGGTGGAGAAAGGCTTTGCTTTGAGTCTGAGGAAGGATGTAGGCGTTGGAGGGGATGCCCACCAGCATGGCCAGGATGTATGATGAGGGGATGACCCTGGTGCTGAGGACCCCCGTGGTGTAGGCTGTCACTGCGTCCTCCGGGCTCACCTGCAGCCGGGGGTCTGAGCTAGGGTAGAGCAGCAGCCTGGTGCCTTTCGGTTTGTACAGCGCTGCCTTAAAGGTTTTCGGTATCGCAACACCGGTTTCATTCGATACATTCCTGGATTTGTTTCCTAGAAATGGGTACACAAAAGACAACGTTTATCAATCAATCAACAACTTTATTAATCCCGCAAGGGCAATTGGTTATGAGCAGTTTATGTCATGTACACAGGCAGGAACATACAGGAAGAAAACACACATGGCTTTAAAGCAACTTAAATTTAGAATAAAAGTACATTTAAATGTACATTAAAACAGGATGTGTATAGTTAATTATGCTGTCTGCTGTCTGGAGACTTTTTAGTTATATCTCTTGTTTTATGCAAGAGAAAACTGACATTTCTAAAATAATATTATTAAATATCTTTTAAACAATGTTTTAACTTCTGTATTGTATTTGCAGCTTTACTAAAATAGTTTTGTAACTTAGATTTGGGATCCCTTAACCAGTTAGAACATTAAAAACTACCGTGAAAAGTCTAAAGTATAAGTATTTAATTATGAAACACTTATCCTTTTGATAAACTCTTATAAATAGTATATTAATAAACCAACCCGGTATCACGGCAAGACGTGAACATGTGACGATCTACCATGCTGGGAGACGTGAATAGAGTGGCGAAGTCCCTCCCCTTCCGGTGGACCTCCATGGGACCTTATTTCGGAAAAATTATGTATTGAAGTCAATGGAGAGAGAAAGATTATCTTTCGATCCCGTTTGAATTGTGCCACGAATTACACATATGATGTTTGTCAATTTAAAAGATAATTTTGCAAGTCAAAAAAAAAAAAATTTGTCGTAAAACTGTGAAGTAACACATTTGTTTGTGTGAAACGCTCAATGAACTACATCTCTGGTCAACCACACACGTCACCAAGATGGCCGTCACTACTGTCATGTCAACAAAACGATTGACTACCCTCACTATCACCACAATGAAACACGTCCTGAAGAATGTCATGCAAAGCTGCCTGCCTGCCTTCCTTTGATTCTCTCTGAACTGCCTGGTCGTTTTAATGTTTAATGTCAACCATTTGTGCAGATAGCATGAAGTAGAGAAGATCGCTAGCGTTAGCGTTAGCATTTCTCCCCCGGGCTTAAATTGTGTATTATAGAATGATCACACCGGTGTGACAGTACTCTTCAAAGGGTTCACGAAATATGACTACTACTCTTACTGTTTAACATTTTGGGTTACTTAATGTTACTTCATGTTAAGGCTAATACAAATGACAAGGCTGTAATGCTAACTAACGTGCTAGCTACTAGCTAGCTTGATCCACACTCCTCTTTCATCAGACGGGAAGCGAAAGAACGAGCAAGACCCATTGCTGGTATAATAACAACCTGGTACTAAGCACACAGGCATCTTGTTAAAGTTATCTTATCTTAGAATCTATCTATATGGCGCTGGCTATTATACGGCTCTGATCGTAGCTATCTCTTAGTGTCTCAATTGTGACATCACTTACGCGACTCTGGGATTTGTAGTCTTTCTGGTTGCGTATTTTTCATAGTCTTATATTTCAACAGTTTTACGACAAACTGTGACTTTTTTGACATGGAAATGATTTTTTAAGATTGACAAACATCATATGTGTAATTCATGGCACAATTCAAACGGGATCGAAAGATACATTTTCTCTCTCCATTGACTTCAATACATTATTTTTCCGAAATAAGGTCCCATGGGGCGGAAGTAGATGGGCGTGACTTCGCCAGTGGGTACCTCGCTTACTACCTTACTTCCTCGCTCTTGGTCCTCTTCTACCTGGAAATAAAGACAACCAAAACACACACAAGCTGAATGTTAAAAGTGCTTCACAAGATAAATAGAAGAGTGCAGACTGTTAAAACTATGGGTAGGGGGACTATTTGGCAGGTTTAAATTATTAGTAATTCATTATATAATTTTCTCATTGTAGACGAGCAGACAGGGAGCCAGATGACAACACAAGAATATGCAGCTGCCATTTTCCACATGGAAAAGAGAAAGGGCCATGTTTATTTGAGTGGACAAAAAAGAAAGTGAGCTTACCTGTAAATCAGTCCACCGACCACGGCTACAGCAAAGGGCCTGAGTCTGCAGGCACCAACCCCGAACCTTCCTGGGTGCAGTCCACAGACGACGACGACGAACCTGGACCCTCCGGTTTGCAGTCCAGTCGCTACGAAGACCAGGCAGGGGATGATCGTAAGAGGTCATATGGCCACTGCGGATTTTTCTGCTGTCCTACGGTGGCTGTCTGGATGGCAGCTTGCAGGTTTCTTGTCAGTCGCATTGAGGCAAGAATAGCCTCAATTCCCCGACCGCCATGCGCCTTCACCAGCTCCGGCACGGTGACAATGGCCTGTTGAGGCTGCGGCTCTGGCTCAGGTGACAAAAGCCATGCCATGCCACACTGTGTGCCCCTCAGTGCAGACCTGAACCAGTCCACATCTTCAGTGGCGATGTCTCTGGCCAGGGGGTTGTATGTCTCCTCTCGCTGTTGATAAATCTGAGACACCGGCTGGACTACTTTGGAAGTGCCAGGCTTCCTCCACTGGCACTCAACATCTGTGGAGCTGATCTGCCACATGGCAAATATTGCCAATGCTGCAGCGTGGCTGCATTTATACATCCCCCGTGCACAATCACAGACAGCGCTCTGCATCGCGCCATCGTCTCCCATGCAGATCTGTAAAAATAAAGTAAGTACCATTTGTTAGCATGCTATAATAGATTGAATGAGCAATAATACAAGGATGGTCAGGATCTGGGGGTGGGAGGGTTTATTTGTATTATTTTCCATAGTTTTGTCCTCTTGTCTGATTGTTGTTATTGTTAGTTTTTTCTGTTTTTTTTGTAATTTGTGTTGTATTGGTTGTGATTGTACATTGTATTTTTCTAAATATGTATGAATAAAAACATTTGATCAAAACAAAAAAAAGGATGGTCAGGATCTAGACTCACACACTGGGTACTTGTAAATGTCTATTGGGTACTTGTAAATGTATCCTGTAAATATAATGTATGATGTCCTTTATTGTTTTATGTTTCATGTGGAACCTATATGCCAACCCAGTCTCACGGCATTTCGTGTTCGGCATTTAATCTATTGATTCGTGTTCACCAACACGATTTTCACATTTTCTTCGTGTCACACAGAACGATTTTAAATGCAATGTATTTATATTGGTAGTATGTTTCGTGCCTGCAACACGTCTTTTTGTCCGGTCGGGTCTTGGAAGACCAGAAGCTGTGTGGTTCATAAAAACATGTTCTTACTCAATATCTTACCCTAAGCCTAACCCTTTTATTTTAAATTGTATAATGTCTGAGTTTTTTTGCCGTCAGTGAGGAAAAGAAATGGCTCAGAGCCTCAGAATACTGAAATCTGTATTTTATGTCATCTTTTTTTCCTTTTAATTTGTTATTATTTGGTGCAGGCACGAAACATACTACCAATATAAATGCATTGCTTCTAAAATCGTTCTGTGTCAGAATACTTAAATCTGTATTTTTTAAAATGTCTTTTTCCTTCTAATTTGTTATTATTTACATTGCTTTTGCGGAAAAAATGGCGAAATCGTGTTGGTGAACACGAATCAATAGATTAATTTCGTGACTATAACACGAAATGCCGTGAGACTGTGTTGCATATGCTGCAGGACTCCCTTGAAAGAGAGATCTATGATCACAGCAAATAAACTCAAAGGACACAACGAGATGTAAAAGGAGATCACACATACAGTATAGTCGATATAAAACTGGCCGCTTCAATCCGGGCAACTAAAACAAAACACGAGAGTGCACCTTGTTAGCTAATGTTAGCTAGCTGACATTAACGTTACACATTACACTCGTGTTACTCACCGAAACCTTGTAAAGCCGGTCCCGCATGCTGGCTCTTACGGAACCGACTAACTCCCCTTTTTCGTAAGTACAGCTCTCAACATGGCCAGACTTGTAGTGATTTTCACCTCTTTTAATACTTTTCGCCTCATTCTGAAAGAAAGAGGTGAAATGTGCTAACGTGACGGCCATTTTGGTGTTGGTGACGTGTGCAATACCAGAGTTGTAGTTCATTCATTGAGAGCTTCACACAAAAAAATGTGTTACTTCACAGTTTTACGACACATTTTATTTTTTTTGACTTGCAAAATTATCTTTTAAATTGACAAACATCATATGTGTAATTCGTGGCACAATTCAAACGGGATCGAAAGATAATCTTTCTCTCTCCATTGACTTCAATGCATAACTTTTCCGAAATAAGGTCCCATGGGGCTCAACCGGAAGGGGAGGGACTTCGCCACTCTATTCTAGTGTTTACGTTTGAAGCTGTGTGGAAGGCAGTTACCGAGATATACAGTATCGTTACCGTGACCACAGTTAGCGAAACGCGAAAGAGTTCAATTTACAGTAAGTAGTGCTTCATTATAATATATCTAAATACAAAAATAATAATATATAAAGTTAAATACCTAACATATTTTTGGTGTTATATTAAGTTAAATACTAAATCGGTTTGCTTTATGTATACTCTGTCAGATCAATTGTTTTTCAGCTACGGCTAACGGTAGGCGACTTATCGTTTATGATACTCAAATATTCCTTTTTCTAATGTTATTACCTTCTCTGGAATCAGTGGTGTAAAGCAACAAAGTAGATTTATTCAAGTATTGTAGGCCTACTTAAAGGTACTTGTACTTTACTTGAGTATTTTAATTTGTTTGCTACTAAACTTCTACTCAACTAGTTGTTATTGTTTGAACTATGTAGCAACGGTAGGAACTGCTTCGATGGCGTTTTTGCGGACCTTTTTGATTACAGATTTGAAAACATCCGTTGCTTGCTTTAAAAGTAGCACTTCAAGTAGCAATTCATTATGTCAAACCTTGGAAAGTATCTAGATATCCCTGCCCTAATACTTTTCTTCTTTCGTATGAGTAACATTTTGATTGCAGGACTTTGACTTGTAACAGAGTATTCCTACACTGCCTTCCCTTGTCTGCCTAGAATTGCCTCAATAGCTCTGAATTGTTACCGTCCTAAGTATCTACTGTAAAAAATAACTATAATTATAATAATCTAATGCTTCTTTCAGACATGGATAAAATGTGGCAGAAGACAGTCCTAAATGAACAAGGTGGTTGAGAATAAGATCAGAGAGCATGTTAAATGTTGCAGTGGCATTAATTATGACTGGAAATGATTGCTGACTTCATATTGCAATTATCTTTCCTCCATTCTCAGAGACAGAGAGCGATGAAGAAAAGTACAATGAACTCAGGAGAAAAGACTATGAGGTAAATGACAGACGCAGCAAGACTTTTGACAAATACCAGACGGCTAGACCCCATCTACCCTGTTTTAGTCTCTCTTCACTGGCGACCTGTCTGTTTTACAATTTGTTTTAAGATTTCACTGATTACTTTTAAAGCTCTTAACGGGTTGGCTCCTGATTACCTCCCTGACTTGTTGTGCCCATATGAGCCTGTCCGCAGTCTCAGATCCTCTGGTAGGGCTCTGCTGGCTGTTACCAACACCAGGCTAAAAACAAAGAGTGGTCGAGCTCCGCAGCTCTGGAACTCCCTGCAGAATCAGTGACGTCTTTTAAATCACTTCTTACAACTCATCTCTTCATTAAAGCCTTCAATGATGCCACTACTTGATTTTACTCAACATCCATGTTTTATTTGTTTTCCTTTGTTTTTTCCATTTGAGTATTGCTGCTATTGTTAAGACGCTGTATACTTGGTGGTGGGGATTGTATTATTATACCTGCTACACCTGCTGTTCTACTTCTCGCAGCAATGCTCTGTGTGAGAAGATTAGGGGGGGGGGGGGGTAGATCAGAGGACGTCTCTGATTGCTGCCAGGGTTTAACTAAATGTTTCCATAGAGTGAAGCGAAGCTGTACTGTGCTGGTGTTCCTATGTGTTCAACATAATCTCAATTGAATGAAAATGATCAATTTAACATAACGTGTTAATTCTTCCCTGATGACCCCCTCCCTCTCATTAATGAGCTGCAACTCTCTTTTGCCCCTCATCCTTCCATCCTCAGGTGTCTCTAAAGACCGGCAGGTCAAAGGCTAAGAAGTTGAGGGAAGCCTGTCTTAAAAAGAGGGTACAAGTGGATCTGGTTAAATATGACTTTATAAAAGTGAATGACATCTCTGAACAGTGCCAGAAGAAGTTTGAGGAGACATCCGAGAATGCCAGAATATCGTGAGCAGCAGTGGATTCTCTGTCATTGTAACTTAAGACTGGATACAATATATTGATCTAATGTTGTAATCTTGTCTCCGTTATCAGTTCTGAAAGACACGGCAAGGCCAAACAGGAGATGTATTCTGCCAATGAGGAGTTAACCGATCAAATAAGGACTAATAAAAGGTAGGCTTATGCTAACATTGTGAATTTAACATAAATACAGTATGTGTACATCTGCCCCACGCTGTATGTGAACAGTGGAGGAAGAAGCATCTTTTTTTCCTTCTAATTTGTTATTATTTGGTGCAGGCACGAAACACACTACCAATAGAAATACATTGCTTCTAAAATCGTTCTGTGTCAGAATACTGAAATCTGTAATTTTTTTTATTTAAATAATTTGACTCTTGTGACTTAAAGAGTAAGTCCACTAGATACCTTTTTAGAGATGCATTTTGTTAAAAGCAGCTAAAGCTTTTCAATAAATGTAGTGGAGTAAAAGTACAATATTTCCCTTTGAATTGTAGTGGGGTAGAAGTACAAAGTAGCAACAAATTGAAATACTCAAGTAAAGTACAAGTGTCGCAAAATGATTCTTTAGTACAGTACTTCAGTAACGTGACTTTCCACCTCTGCCCATGGTGTGTATGCAAACAGATATGAACCATTAGGTGCTTTGAAAAGGTTTTATAAATAAACACGAGCTGTTTCAGACATACTCATCTGCACTGAACATAGATCCAAACGTACTCTTTCTTCTTCATAGGGAGCCT